TGTTTCATATTTTTAGAATTCCTATACCCATCCAATGATAACAAATATCTACCAGTTGGGAGTTTGATTATTTACTTGTGTTGTTTTGTCTTTAAACTATATAGTTTGTAGTTTCATATGTAGTCAAAGTACTTCTTCCAAACATTAATTTTCCCCCATTCAGTGTTTATTATTCATTTGAAATATAGTTTGGTGTATTTTTTTCTTGTTAGTATTTAATTTATCTTTTCTCCCCTTGCTTGCTCATTGATTTTATTTTTTGAGTACATAAAAAACATTAACATGATTCTGAAGTCAAACCTTATAGTGAGGTAAATCTCAGACATTATATAGGAACTGTAATTTTTAAAAATGTTATCATTTGTGTTGCAATAGCAACAACAAAAATATAAAATACCTAGGAATGCTTGCTTGCTTTATTTATTTATTTATTTATTTATTTATTTATTTATTTATTTCAGGTAAGTTTTTTTTTTAATGTTTATTTTTGAAAGAGAGAGAGAGAGCACGCACTAGCGGGGGACATTTTGACAATATTTATTCTTCCAAATGAGCATGGAATATTTTTCCATTTTTTTGTGTCTTCAATTTCTTTCATAAGTTTTCTGTGGTTTTCAGTGTATATATTTTTCACCTCTTTGGTTAGGTTTATTCCTAGGTATTTTATGGGTTTTGGTGCAATCATAAATGGGATTGATTACTTGATTTCTCTTTCTGCTTCTTCATTATTGGTGTATAGAAATGCAACTGGTTTTTGTGCATTGATTTTATATCCTGTGACTTTGCTGAATTTATGGATCAGTTCTAGCAGTTTTTTCGTGGAATCTTTTGGGTTTTCCATAGAGTATCATTTGGTCTATGAATAGTGAAAGTTTGACTTCCTCCTTGTCAAGTTAGATGCCTTTTATTCATTTGTGTTGTCTGATTGCTGAGGTTAGGACTTCCAATCCTATGTTGAATAACAGTGGTGAGAGTGGACATTGTTGTGTTCCTGACCTTAGAGGGAAAGCTTGAGTTTTTCCCCATTGAGGATGATATTAGCGGTGGGTCTTTCATATATGGTTTTTATGTTCTTGAGGTGTGATCCTTCTATCCCTACTTTCTTGAGGGCTTTTATCAAGAAAGGATGCTGTATTTTGTCAAGTGCTTTCTTTGCATCTATTGAGAGGATCATGTGGTTCTTTTCCTTTCTTTTATTGATGTGATGTATCACATTTGTTGATTCACAGATATTGAATCAGCCCTGCATCCCAGGTATAAATACCACTTGGTCGTGGTGAATAACTCTTTTAATGTATTGTTGGATCCGGTTGGCTAGTATCTTGTTGAAGATTTTTGCATCCATGTTCATCAGGGAAATTGGTCTGTAGTTCTCCTTTTTAGTGGGATCTTTGGTTTGGGAATCAAGGTAAGGCTGGCTTCATAGAATGAGTTTGGACGTTTTCTTTCCATTTCTATTTTTTGGAACAGCTTCAAAAGGATATGTGTTAACTCTTCTTTAAATGGTTGGTAGAATTCCCCTGGAAAGCCATCTGGCCCTGGACTCTTGGTATTTTGGAAGAATTTTGATTACTAATTCAATTTCTTTACTGTTTATGAGTCTGTTCAAATTTTCTATTTCTTATTTAAGTTTTGGTAGTTCATCTGTTTCTAGGAATTTGTCCATTTCTTCCAGATTGCCCAATTTATTGGCATATAATTGTTCATAATATTCTCTTATTGTTTGTTTTTCTGCCGTGTTGGTTGTGATCTTTCCTCTTTCATTCTTGATTTTATTTATTTGGGTCCCTTCCTTTTTCTTTTTGGTCAAACTGGCTAGGAGTTTATCAATTTTCTTAATTCTTTCAAAGAACCAGCTTTTGTTTTCATTGATATGTTCTATTGTTTTGTTTTGTTTTTTTAGATAGCATTGAATTCTGCTCTAATCTTTATTATATCCCATCTTCTGCTGGTTTTGAGTTTTATTTGCTGGTCTTTTTCCAGCTCTTTAAGGTGTAAGGTGAAAGGAGACCTTTATTCCTTCTTTAGGAAAGCCTGGATTGCTATATACTTCCCTTTTATGATCGCCTTTGCATCCCAGAGGTTTTGGGCTGTGGTGTTATCATTTTCATTGGCTCCTTGTACTTTTAAATTTCCTCTTTAACTTCTTGTTTAGCCCATTCATTCTTTAGTAGGATGTTCTTTAGTTTTCAGGTATTTGTTGTCTTTCCAAATTCTTTCTTGTGGTTGATTTTGAGTTTCATAGCATTGTGATCTGAAAATATGCATGGTATGATCTCGATCTTTTTGTACTTATTGAGGGCTGATTTGTGTCCCAGTATGTGATCTGTTCTGGAGAATGTTCCGTGTGCACTTGAGAAGAATGTGTATTCTGCTGCTTTAGGATGAAATATTCTGAATATATCTGTTAAGTCTATCCCGTCCAGTGTGTCACTCAAAGTCATTGTTTCCTTGTTGATTTTCTGTTTAGATGATCTGTCCATTGTTGTAAGTGGGATGTTGAAGTGCCCTACTATTGTGGTACTTTATCAATGAGTTTCTGTATGTTTGTGATTAATTGATTAAATATTTGGTTGCTCACATGTTTGGGGCATATATGTTTACAATTGTTAGGCCTTCTTGGTGGATAGACCCCTTAATTATGATATAATGCCCTTCTTCATCTCTTGTTACAGTCTTTATTTTAAAATCTAGATTGTCTGGTATAAGTATGGCTACTCTGGCTTTCTTTTGGTGACCGTTAGCATGACAGATGCTTTTCCATCCCTTTACTTTCAATCTGAAGGTGTCTTTAGGTCTAAAGTGGGTCTCTTGTAAACAACATATAGATGGATCTTGTTTTCTTATCCATTCTGTTACCTTATGTCTTTTGTTTTTGTTTTTTTTTTTAATTTTTTTTTCTTTTTTTTTCAACGTTTATTTTTATTTTGGGACAGAGAGAGACAGAGCATGAACGGGGGAGGGGCAGAGAGAGAGGGAGACACAGAATCGGAAACAGGCTCCAGGCTCTGAGCCATCAGCCCAGAGCCCGATGCGGGGCTCGAACTCACGGACCGCGAGATCGTGACCTGGCTGAAGTCGGACGCTTAACCGACTGCGCCACCCAGGCGCCCCTCCTTATGTCTTTTGATTGGAGTGTTTAGTCTATTGACATTTAGAGTGAGTACTGAAAGTTATGAATTTATTGCCATGGTGTTTCCTGCAGAGTTGGAGTTTCTGGTAGTGTTCTCTGGTCCTTTCTAGTCTTTGTTGCTTTTGGTCTTTTTTGTTTTATTTTGTCTTTTCTCCCCTCAGAGAGTCCCCCCTAAAATTTCTTGCAGGGCTGGTTTAGTGGTCATGAGCTCCTTTAGTTTTTGTTTGTCTGGGAAACTTTTTTATCCCTCCTTCTAGTTTGAATGACAGCCTTGCTGGATAAAGAATTCTTGGTTGCATATTTTTCTGATTTCAGCACATTGAATATATCCTGCCACTCGTTTCTGGCCTGCCAAATTTCTGTGGATAGGTCTGCTGTGAACCTGATCTGTCTTCCCTTGTAGGTTAAGGACTTTTTTTCCCTTGCTTGTTTCATGATTCTTTTCTTTTCTGTGTATTTTGTGAATTTGACTATGGTATTCCTTATTGATGTTCGATTTTTGTTAAATCTACTGGGAGTTCTCTGTGCTTCCTGAATTTTGATGTCTGTGTCTTCCCCCAGGTTAGGAAAGTTTTCTGCTATGATTTGCTCACATAAACCTTCTGCCCCTTTTCCTCTCTCTTCATTTTCTGGGACCCCTATGATTCTGATGTTATTCCTTTTTAATGAGTCACTGAGTTCTCTAATTCTTATATTGTGCTCTTTTACCTAGTCTCCCTCTTTTTTTTCTGCTTCCTTATTCTCCATAAGTTTGTCCTCTGTATCACTGATTCGCTGCTCTACTTCATCCATCCTTGCCACCGTGGCATCCATTTGGATTGCATCTAAGTTACAACATTTTTAATTTCATCCTGACTAGATTTTACTTATTTTATCTTTGCAGAAAGGGATTCTATGCTTTTTTCAACCCCAGCTAGTATTATCATGATTCTAAATTTTGGTTCAGACATCTTGACTGTAACTGTGTTGATTAAGTGCCTGGCTGTCATTTCTTCCTGTTCTTTCTTTTGGGGTGAATTCCTTTGTTTTATCATTTTGGAGGAAGAAAAAGAATTAATAAAATAAAAATTAAAAAATTAAAAACAACACAAATAAAATAAAGAATGCTATATCTTAGGTGTGTTTTTGTTTGGTTGTTGAAAGAAGCTTGATAGCATAGAGAGAAAAGGGAAAGAAGAGAATAGAAAAAAAGGAAAACATTTAAAAAGTTAAAAAATGAATACAATAAAACAGAATAAAATGAAATGATGAAAGTAAAATAGAATGGAAGAAAATTACAAAAACGTAAAACATAGTAGAAAAATTTAAGGAAACATTTTTTATTAAAATGGAAAATAAAAACAAAACTTTCTCGGGGCGCCTGGGTGGCGCAGTCGGTTAAGTGTCCAACTTCAGCCAGGTCACGATCTCGCGGTCCGTGAGTTCGAGCCCCGCGTCGGGCTCTGGGCTGATGGCTCGGAGCCTGGAGCCTGTTTCTGATTCTGTGTCTCCCTCTCTCTCTGCCCCTCCCCCGTTCATGCTCTGTCTCTCTCTGTCCCAAAAATAAATAAACGTTGAAAAAAAAATTTATAAAAAACAAAACAAAAAAAACCCCAAAACTTTCTCTTTCTATATTCAAGAATAAGAAAAGAAGAAGAAAAAGAATTGAGTAGATGGACCAGCGAACAGAATGAAAAATGATTGAAATTATATCAAGTTTCCTCTAGAAGTCAAACTATGAAGCACTTTACAATCCATAAACTAAGCAGACAGAGAGACTTGTGTTCCTCTAGCGCTTGGTTGGTTCAGTTGGGTGGGGCTGAGTGTAATGGCTCTGTTCTCCACTAGAGGTGCTGCTTAGCTTACTGGGGTGGATCACTGTGGCACGTGTATGTGTATATGTGCATGTGCGGGAGAGGTGAATATGACGTCACCTAGCTACTCAGTCTCTGGTATCAGAACTCTGCTTTTGCCAACTGGCAGTCAAGCACCTCTCCTTTGTCTCCAGCTTCCATCCACTTCCCGCTTCTACACTGTTGGCAATCAAGCTGTCAGCCTGCCAGGTGGCATCTCCCTCCCAAGTTTTATCTCAGAATTGGTTGTGTTTCCAAACTCCTTACTTCTGAGGGCCCTGTGGCTTTGACCTGCTCAGACCCTCTGGGGGAGGGTCTTGCCTGAGCAATGACTGGGTGCCAGCCCACCCTCAGGAACATTTGTGGGACAGCACTGCTGCCAATGCCCAGAGACTACAGCTGATGCCAGCCTGCCCCAGAAAAAGTTCATGTGATCGTGTAGCAGCAGCGTTTCAGGGATTATGGTAAATTACAACACACATCTGGTGCTAGGCTTCACCTCCCCTTAACATCCTTTTTTCCAACACCAGCAAATGTGGCTGTTCTCTGGAGTCCACTGGGACCTTTGCCTGTGGGGAGGCCACACAGCCTCTACCAAATGTCCTCTCTGCAGGGGAATTGCCTCTCCCCCGGTGGCCCAAGGGCCTCTTGGATCTCGCTGTCTGTTCCTGAGGATCCACCCTTCCCACCGGAGCACCACCAGGTATTGAGCTGTGGAGTTTCAGACTCTGCACTCCCGTTTATAGAGTCTTAACGGTATTTAGACCATCTCTTTCCTTTCTTTCTTGTTAAGTCCCTTATGGGTGTTTCCACTCTTTCTCTTTCTCTCCACCTGCTTTTAGGGGGGGAGTGCTTTTCCTGTACTCTCCCCCCTGTCTCTGTCCTCTCTCTGCAAGCAAAAATGGCTCCCTATCCTCTGCAGCTTCTCTCTCCCCCAGTTCACCTTTCTGCACTGCATACCTGTTGAGTTCTGTGGTTTAAGTTGTGCAGATTGTTGTGTTAATCCTCAGATCGATTTTTTAGGTGTGCAAGATGGTTTGGTGTTGATCTAGATGCATTTCAGGGATAAGAGAAGCAAAAAAGCTTCCCTGCTGCTCTGCCATCTTGGCCCCTCTCCTGGTACCTAGTAATCTTAACAAAAGATGTGCAATACCTTCATATAGGAAATTGTAAAATTTTATTGCAAGACATTAAACAAAGCCTAAGTAAATGTAAAAGCATACAATATTTATTATTAATAGGGATTCTTAATATCAGAAAAAGACATATCAATTTCCCTCAAATAATTTATAAATTCAATGTGATTTTGATCCAGTTAAAATCCCAATAGCATTTTATTCAAACTGAGGAGCTGTTTTTCAAATTTAATTGTAAGAACAAGGGAGCAGTACAACCCAGAGAATTTTGAAGTACGAAGTGAATGAAACTTGCCTCCCCTGAGCATTACTTACTATAATATTAATAACATGAGCAGTTAGAGGCAAATCAAAGATAGACAAATAGATTTAAAGAGCAGAGTGAGAGTTGAGATGTGGAAACTTGACATGACAGTATCATAACAAGGTAGTGGGTTAACAATCCAATAGCAGACATAGGACAACAGTTTTTTCTTGGAGAATTAATATTATTATCTATGGAAAGATAATAAAATTAGATACTTATCCCATACCACACACAAAAATAAGTTCCAGAGGAATAAATACCTAAATGTAAAAAGCACAACTTTCAATCTACCAAAATAAAACATTGAGAACGTATTTATGTCTTAGGATAGGGAAGACTTTAAACAAGAAACACAAGAACACAATCATACAGGAAGAGTATTAAGTCTGACTACAATAAAATTAAGGAGGGCTTCTCTATATCAGATACACCTTACATAAGCCAGAAGATGAGCTACCAATTGGGAGGTATATTGCATCATAGATAACCACAAATTATTTAAAATTATTTTTTTCCAGTTTTTTTGAGAAATAGTTCACAAATGTGACTGGATAAGTTTAAGGTATATAGCATGAAGGTTTAATTTACATGTAGTGTGAAATAATTAACCACAATAGGTTTAGTTACATCGTCTCATGTAGATAAAATAAAAAGAACAAAAAAAGTTTCCTTGCGTTAAATCTCTTAGGATCTTCTCTCTTAATAACTACCATATAATACACAGCTATGTTAGCAATGTATAATATACAGCAATTATGTTGTACATTATATTCCTAGTACTTATTTATCTTATAACTGAAAGTTTGTACCTTTTTTTCATCCAAGAGAGATTTTTAAAATTTTAATTATTTTAATTCCATTATAGTTAACATTCAGCATTAAATTAGTTTTAGGTGTACAATATAATGATTCAACAATTCTATATATTACTTAGTGCTCATCAGGATAAATATACTCTTAATCCCCTTCACCTATTTCACCCATACCCCACCTACCTCTCCTCTGATAACCTTAAGTTTGTTCTCTATAGCTGAAAGTCCATTTTTTGGTTTGTCTGTTTTTTTTCCCTTTGTTCATTTTTTTCTTAAATTCCACATGAGTGAAATCATATAGTACTTGTCGTTATCTGACTTATTTCACTTATTGTTATACTCTCTAGCTCCATCCATGTTGTTGCAAATGGCAAGATTTTGTTCTTTTTTATGAGTGAATAATATTCCATTGTATATAGGCCACACCTTCCTTATCCATTCATCTATCAGTGGATACTTGGGCTGTTTCCAAAATTTGGTTGTTGTAAATAATGCTGCAATAAACATAGGGGTGATGGAAGTTTGTACCTTTTGACAACCTTCCTCCAATTCCCCCACCCTCCATCCCTGCCTCTGATAACCATAAATCTGATCAGTTTTCTATGAGTTTCATGGATTCTTTTTTCCCAGTTCCACATATAAGTAAGATCATACAGTATTTGTCTTTCTTTCTCTGACTTATTTCATTTAGAATATTGCCTTCAAGATTCATCCATTTTGTCAAAACGAGGATTTCCTTGCTTTGTTTTGTTTTCATAATGGCTGGGTAATATTCCATTGTATCTATGTACCACAACTGTATCTATTCATCCACTGATGGACACTTAGGTTGTTTCCATGTCTTGGTTGTTTCATGCTGTTTTTCATGGTGTCTGTACCAACTTACATTCTTACCAAGAGGTCACAAGGATTCTCTTTTCTCTACATCCACGCTAGCATTTATCTCTTGTCTTTTTGATGATGGCCATTCTAATAGGTGTGAGGTGATATCTCAGTGTGGTTTTAATTTGCATTTCCCTAGTGACTAGTGATGTTGAGTATCTTTTCATGTACCTGTTGGCCCTTCATGTATCTTCTTTGGAAAAATGGCTGTTCAGGTCCTTTGCCTATATTTAAAATTGGATTATTTGGTTTATTTATTTATTTGCTATTGAATTGAATGAGTTCTTTATAGATTTTGGATATTAACCCCTTATCAGATACATAGTTTGCCAATGTGGGTTTTTTTTTCCCCATTCATAGGTTGTCTTTTCACTTAGTTGATTTTTTTTTCTGTGCAGAAGCTTTTTAGTTTGATGTAATCCCACTTATTTATTTTTTATTCTGTTGCTTGTGCTATAGGTGTGATTTCCAAAAAAAATTATTTCTTTTTTAAAAAACTGTTTATTTTTGAGAGAGAAAGAGAGCACATGTGCTTGTGTGCTTGCATGAGGGAGAGGAGCCAAGCTGGCTCCATGCTGTCAGTGAAAAGCCTGATGTGGAACTCAAACCCACGAACTGTCAGATCATGAACTGAGCCAAAATCAAGAATCAGACATTTCACCAAATGAGCCACCCAGGCACCCCCACAAAAATAATTTCTAAGACCCATTTCAAGAAGCTTTTTCCTGTGTTTTGTTCTAGGAGTTTCATAGTTTCAGGTCTTACATTTAAGTCTAATCCATTTCAAGTTAGTTTTTGTGGGTGGTGTTAGATAAAGGTAAAGCTTCATTCTTTTATGTATGAATATCCTATTTTCCTAGCACCATTTATTGAAGAGACTGTCTTTTCTCTGTTGATTTACTCTTGGCTCTCTTGTCAAATATAAGTTGACTATATATGCTTAGGTTTGTCTCTGGGCTCTCGATTCTTTGCCATTGGTCTAGTTGACTAGTTTTATGTCAGTACCATACTATTTTAGTCACTATAGTTTTATAGTATAGCTCAAAATCAGGAAACGTGATGCCTCCCTTCTTTTCCTCAAGGTTTCTTTGGCTATTTGGGGTCTTCTGTGGTTCCATAAATATCACAAAGTTTTATTGTTAAATAGAACTCAAAATTTATAAGCAAAAGAAACAATGACAGGGGCGTCTGGCTGGTTCAGTCAGTAGAGCATGCAACTCTTGATCTCAGGGTCATGAGCTTGAACCCCACATTGGGTGCAGAGATTACTTTAAAAAAAGAAAAAAAGAAAAGAAGCAATGATAGAAAAATGGACATGGGGAACAGGGATGGCTCAGTCGGTTGAGTGACCAACTTCAGCTCAGGTCATGATCTCACAGTTTGTTATTTGAGCCCTGCATCAGGCTTGCTGCTGTCAGCACAGAGTCCACTTTGGATCTTCTGTCTCCCTCTCTCTCTGCCCTTTCCCCACTTGTGTTCTCTCTCTCTCAAAAATAAATAAATCTGAAAAAAAAAATGGACAGAGGATAAAGGAAAAAAAGAGAGAAAAACCAAAAAACAGACTCTTAACTGTAGAGAACAAACAGGTGGTTGGTTACCAGAGGGGAGGTGGGTTGGTGGATGGGTGAAATAGGTGAAGGGGATTAAGAGTACATTTATCTTGATAAGCATTGAGTAATACATAGAATTGTTGAATCAGTATCTTACATGCCTGAAACTAATATATCACTGTTAATTATACTGGAATTAAAAAAAATAAAGAAGGCCTAAATATAAATAGAGAGATATACTGTGTTTATAGTATATATACTCAATATAATTGTTAATTCTCTCTCTAAAAAAAAAAGAAAATAAAAATGGACAGAGGAAATGAAAATCTGAATGGCTAATAAAAATACAATATGTGCTAATTTTCACTAGTAATCAGTGAAATGCAAGGCCACAGAGAGGGTACAATTCCTCATCCACAATACTGTCAAAAATTAAAAGTCAGCCAATACCAAGAGGGAATCAGTAGATCAGTAGCAGACCCTACACTTCTGTGCAAGATTAAATTTGTAGAGCCATTTTGGTGAGCAATTTGGGAAATATCTGATAAACTTGAAGTGCATTTGCCCTGTAACTCAACAATTTCACTCCCAGATACAGATCATAAATATCATACATGTACACAAGAAGACCTCTACAAGAATCTTCATTATTCTAGTGTTTGAATCATGATAAATTGGAAACAACTTATCTGTAAATTCAGAGGATAATGGACAAATTGTAGTATGTTCATACAATGGTTGATTTAATCTATCTATCATCTATCTACCCATCCATCCACCTGATGGTTAACATGGATCCTCATGAGGATTAAGTTATATATATCAATATATATCAATGTGAGTACAATTTAAGAACATAATGAGTGAGAAAAATACATTGCAGAAGATATGAGCAGCAGTATGATATCTTTTGTTTAAAGTGTTAAAACTTGGGGCGCCTGGGTGGCTCAGTCAGTTGCTTTTTGGCAGTATTACGGATGTGGAATTGTACCTCTCTGTGGTTTTACTTTGCATTT